AGTTACGTAAGTATAGTAAGTAGTAGTAGTAGTAGTGTGTGTGTGTGTGTGTGTGTGTGTGTGTGTGTGTGTGTGTGTGTGTGTGTGTGTGTGTGTGTGTGTGTGTGTGTGTGTGTGTGTGTGCGTGTGTGCACTGTAAAAGCATTACTGCAGCTCTTTTGTGCAGCACTCCCTCCAAACCACGGCACACTTCAGGTCCAGTCCTCCGAAGAGAACCTGGAAGATTGGGGTTAGACACCGGGCCACACAACACATCACTGTGCCGAGGTCGAACCCATCAAATCATCGCTAGGCGGGGGTTGGGGGGGGGGTTTGGAGCCCATTTCCTGACACTTTGGGGCTTGTGGGTTTCAGAGATAACATTAGAAAGATGGGGCCGTGCCGTCGTCAGGCAACAGCTCTGCAGCATCCTCGCAGTCTCAAACCGTCAAGACGACACTCAGGTTATTTAAAGGAGGATGATTAATGTGTTGGGAAATGGCAAGCACCTGCCCCAGCGTGGGTGTGTGTGTGGGTGTATGCGCATGCACAAATATGTGTGTGTGTGTGTACACGTGTTTTGCTTTTTTTGCATATCTTTTGTGTGCATTTTCACATTCGTGTGTGTGTGTGTGTATCTGTGTATCTGTGTGTGTGTGTGTGTGTATTGCGCTGACTGGGCCGGTGTGCTGGCAATTAGAAAAACCACCAGTGGCATACACACACACACACACACAGATACACAGATACACACACACACACACGAANGCTTTGATTCCATCATCTCATTAAACCTTATTTAAAAGCATACTTTAGTTCTGTGAAGGGATATATGCACTGTGCTCCACTTTAATTCATATTAAACAGCATATATATATATTACAGCACAATTTTTTGTTGAATAGATTTGAGTAGTTCAAATTTTGGGTCGTGAGTTATTGATGAAGGAAAAAGTTGGTCCCGAGGCGTGACCAGTTGAGAACCACTGCTTTAGAGTATGTTAAAGTGATCCTATTGATTTGTTATCCCCGTTTATTACATGGCGTTGTTGAATACTCGATTCTGATTGGTCAATTCAGAACACGTGACACGTTGTTAATGCCGAACAGACAGACCGCTGTCAAGGACTTATTGACCGTTGTTAAGGACGCTCACATCTGCAGAAAGAAGTCCGTTCGATGTAACTGTATACTAACTGACAAGACAAGAGCGACAAGAAAACAGCGGAGAAGTAAC